GTTGGCATTCTCGTCTGACAACTTTCCTGGCCAAGGCGATTTTTCAGATCATGTTGGTTGCTTTCCCGACAGGATCTACCTTCAATGTGTTGTCAGTTCAACAAGCAGTTCGCACGATGTGGCACTCCTAAGATAACTCACCCAGCAGATAAACCCACCATCATGAAGCAAAAGGACCTCATGGGCTTCTTCAATTCAGTACCACATGATTGCATTTTGCAATCTTTGCTTTTCGTGCTGCAGCTTCTTGAAGCCAGGTTGTTGGCACAAACCGTGGCAACTGCAATCTTTGCAGGTTTCTGTTCGCAGCAAGGACCCCAACTTTCGAGTCTTCCGTGGACGTCGTAGGTTTGCTGCGAGGAACACCAAGACGATTTACTTGGAGGACTTACCTGACTTGGTTGCGTTTATGTTACGATCAAGTTTCTTTCAGTGTGGCTTCCACACCTTCAAGCAGATTCAGGGAGCCAGCATGGGCTCGGCACTTGCACCGGTACTGTGTACACTGGTTGCTTCGACTACTGAATTTCTGTGGCTTCGGAATTTTCGCACCATCTTGAACAACATTGGTTTTCAGACGGCTGCTCGTTACGCTGACAATCGGGTCTTTCATGTCCAAGCAGGCATTCGAAGAAACCCGTGGCTTCAGTTGCTGTTTCATCTTGAATTTTATGGCGTACCCATTATTCTGGAGGACGTGTTGAGTGAGAACTTTCTAGGCACTACATGTTCTGTTACACAAGGCACCATTACGGTGGTGCAACCGACCGATGCTTCAGCCATTCGTACGCTACAATCAGTTGGCAGGAAAGAACATGTTCTTTCTGGTTTCTCGGCCAGGGTCCGCACCATCATCAGACTCTTGATTCGGCCACAGGTGGAGGACTTAATTGAAATCTACCAGGCCCAAGGTTTTTCGCGAAGCGTTCTAGTACAGATTGCACACCAGCTTTTAAAATCTGTCGGCATTCATATCTCGTGACAAAAGGACAGGACCTGCAGTAAGTTCTTGTTGTGGACTTGATGCACATGGTAGGTGGCCATGGTTACACTTTTCTGTGTTTTTCCGAGAGTTTTGCTCATAGTTTGTAGTTGGTCTATGTTTCTTCTGCCGTGCTTACCATGTCTGACTGGGATGTCGACTCGGCGGATTTCGACTCGGTGGATTTGGACCATGAGGAATCTTATTCGGATGCTGCGTGCAGCTCTGTCAACAACGAGGAGTCCCAGTCGGAGGTTGCGTGCAGTTCTGTCAGCTTTGATGTCAGTGATGTCAGCCTTGGTATCAGCGAGCAGCACTCGGATTCGGTACGCAGCTTCGACAACCCCGCAACCAGCACCTTTCTTTCCAGTACTGAGAGGGCAAATGTGTCGGAAGGTAGCTTCAAACAAGCTCCGGACAATCCATCAACGAGACTTTCACTAGGACAGCAATCCGTAGAGAAGCCTCCCAAAAGACGTCTCAGAATGATGGATGAGCACAAGGACGGTGTTCGTATCAAGATTATACCGTCTCCCAAGAAACAGTTTCGAGAAAGAATGGAGGTCACTCGAATACTCGGCGATGATTTTTACATTCCGAACAGAGCGCAATTGATGTTGAATTTCTTGAAGAAGCAGGGTACTCGATTGGTCAGGGAGAAGCCAGGACCGACCATCAAATTTTCAAGCACGCTAAAGCTTGTTCAACATGTACTCAAGCGCAAGCCATGAGTCCAGCGCAACATGCAGCAAAATACCTTTGAGGACCGCGGATGCATGCTTGGTTGTTTAATGCAGGAGTTGAGTCATCGACGAAGCCAGGACGCGTTAATGCTCTCTGATATGCAGCCGGTTCGAAGTTGTGCCTTCATAGGTCAGATAGCCATGGACAGTCAAATGATGAGGGACGCTCAATGGCGTGTTGATCAAGCATCTACCGCTCAGTTGCTTGAGTTGCTTTGGCAGATCTGGGACCGACTCAATCGCAGATTCCGATTTCAGGATGGACCCATTCGTTGTCGTCATCGGTGTCAACATTGCGAGAATCGTTGCTGCTACCACAGTCATCACAGTTCTCAGGAGCAGCGACATGAGTGGTACGGTCCACACTACTGCTTCTTACATGATGAAGATGGTTATCGACATCTGTGAACAATAGGTTCAGACAGGCTGTGACGTTGCGAGTTTTTGTGAAAGAACCAGTGCCCGCATCAGGTGCTCTTGGACTTCGGTAGACAACCCGTGGCTTTCGTAGGACCAGACGATAGAATAAGGATCAGGATTTGATTGGATGGAGGACCCAGGACAGTTTCCCCTCACTGAGGGGTGTGTGTGTGTGTAACCCTCGATTCTAAGCTAGAGGTCTCTGGTGCATCTATCATCAACGATGCTCAGCAGTGCGTTGTCTTTTTCAATATGCAGGGGGGCAGAGGAGGCCCATAGAGCTCTGCCCAACGAAGCTCTCTATGGTGACCTCAGGATACTGGGACTGATCATCCCAGCGTACCTGCTTTGAGTGTGTGGCAGCAGGCTAAGCCAAGAACCTGCAAACATCACTGTCAGGATGTGCGAGTTAGGTTTCTACACCAACATCGAAATCATCGTTTCAGGTAACCTAAGGTTTCAGGATTATGGACGGTGTCGAAGATCTACCTCGTATTTAGAAATGGTGGTATTGTCCTGATGGACTCCTTATATCTCCGTGTGTGCACGTGTGCGTGTGGGTGTGCGTGTGCGTGTGGGTGTGCGTGTGGGTGCGCGTGGGCGTGTGCGTGTGTGTGCGCGTGTGCGTGTGTGTGCGCGTGTGCGTGTGCGTGTGCGTGTGCGTGTGCGTGTGCGTGTGCGTGTGCGCGTGTCGTGTGCGTGTGCGTGTGCGTGTGGGTGCGCGTGTGCGTGTGCGTGTGCGTGTGCGTGTGCGTGTGCGTGTGCGTGTTCGTTTGCTTGTTCGTGGTGCTTGTGGGTGGGGGGTGTGGGTGTGCGTTTTGGGGGTGTGTGTGTGTGTGTGTGTGTGTGTGTGTGTGTGTGTGTGTGTGTGTGTGTGTGTGTGTGTGTGTGTGTGTGTGTGTGTGTGTGTGTGTGTGTGTGTGTGTGTGTGTGTGTGTGTGTGTGTGTGTGTGTGTGTGTGTGTGTGTTGTTGTGTGTGTGTGTGTGTGTGTGTGTGTGTGTGTGTGTGTGTGTGTGTGTGTGTGTGTGTGTGTGTGTGTGTGTGTGTGTGTGTGTGTGTGTGTGTGTGTGTGTGTGTGTGTGTGTGTGTGTGTGTGTGTGGGTTTGTGTGTGTGTGTGTGTGTGTGTGTGTGTGTGTGTGTGTGTGTGTGTGTGTGTGTGTGTGTGTGTGTGTGTGTGTGTGTGTGTGTGTGTGTGTGTGTGTGTGTGTGTGTGTGTGTGTGTGTGTGTGTGTGTGTGGTTGTGTGTGTGTGTGTGTGTGTGGTTGTGTGTGTGTGTGTGTGTGTGCGAGTGGTTGTGTGTGTGTGTGGTTGTGTGTGTGTGTGGTTGTGTGTGTGTGTGGTTGTGCGTGTGTGTGGTTGTGTGTGTGTGTGTGTGGTTGTGTGTGTGTGTGTGTGTGTGTGCACGAGTGTGTGTGTGTGTGTGTGTGTGTGTGTGTGTTTATTTGTGTGTGTGTGTGTGTGTGAGTTGCCTTTTGCACAACTTGATGCCTGCCTGCCCGCAGGGCCGCAGGTACATTTACATCACAGTCCTCTGACAAGAATTGCACAAGTACATGTTGAAACGAGTGTTTATGTATATATGTATATATATATACATATGCGTATATTATTATTATATATATATAATATTATATTATATATATATATATATATACACATAGTATACACTGCACGCATACGTACATAGGTACATACATGAGGATGGGTATGTACACACTCATGTGTATGTACCAATATATCTATAAATCTATATATATATATATATATTAATTATCTTTACATATGTATATATATATATATATACATATTGAGATGTATATATAGAAAATCATTTTGCATGCACACATGTGTTGCGGAATTCAAACTCATGGTAAGACACTCCACGACAGCGGTGATTCTCTTTGTGTTTCTTGCGGCCGTCTTCTGCTTGAGACCTTCGCCGTGGTCTTCACATGAGTGAGATGGAGGAGCCCTTGGATTGGAGCCACGAGCCTGCAAACAGGAGATGACCCAGATAAGCAGCGTCAAGCATTCCGACAGTGATGCAGTCACACATGGTCGTACCAATCGTCGTACTTGTAGTAGACGTCGTGGTCGTCGCCGTGGCTGCGTGGTCCTGGTCGACATCCCCACCCCTCCCACCAAAATGCAAGTCCAGAATCGGAAGCTCGAGTTTGCAAACTCGCCTGTGAATTTTGAGGCTTCATAAGATGTTCCTACATGACGAAGTGCCGTAAATGACGAGTACAACGGATGTGCGCGAGAAGAGTATGTAAGAGGGTGGTTGGAAGCGCAGGGGGGGGCGCCTGCTACTACTACTACTACTACTACTACTACTACTACTACTACTACTACTCCTACTATTACCACTACTTGTACTGCTACTGCTACTACTACAGCTACTACACTCCTACTTACTACGACGACTACTCTCTCTCTCTCTCGATGCGCAAACATCCGAAGACGTCTTTGCGTGGCCCCTTTGGGCGACCTACATAGGCCTGCTATCTCAGTGGACAGCATAACCAGGGCAACTAGCGACAATCAGGAAAAGCTGAACCTTGGGCTTCAGCTTATGTCATTAACTAACTGGTACGGCATCCGGACCGATAGTCCCTATGAGCGATGCCTGCTTGCGACTGTACACCACGAGGCGGCAGAAGCCGGACGTTTCGCAAGTTACCGGCTACTTTCAGATGACCCGATAGGTCCATATACATCTCGATCATTTGGAAAGGAGATAATGCAGCGTTCAGCATACCATGCTCCCAGAGGCAGCATCACAGCAAATCAGAATGACCAGCCGCAGTATCAGCATCAGCATTTGAGTGCACTCCGTACCTCCACCAGACATCATGTGGATAGGCAGGTGAGGAGGCTGACCCTCATTGGCCTGTCCAGGGATGCTGGATCTGACGCTTTCATCTCCCTCCAGGCAGCTTGCGCTTTGAACAGCGAGGGAACCACAGATGCGGGCACCCCAATCCGACAGAAGAGAACGTATGTGGTTTCGGGACGCAGAGCTCCGAGAAAGTCCTCATGACGAAGGGCCAATCTTTGAATCTGGAAAATGCTGTTCTTGAGCTCTTTGATCTCCTCCTTGAGGGCAGCATTTATCTTGTTGTCGCCATTGCCGCTACGATCCCATGCGCCAGAGCTGTCCCAGGCATTACCGAAAGCGCGCTTGGTGCGCCCCCATCCTGCCCAAGGATCATCCTCCTCACGGCGCGCGCCCTTGCCACGTTGTTGGCCTTTTGACCGGTGCCCAGTTTGGCGGCTTTGGTATCACGACCCTGATCATCCGTAGCCGCTTCCGAGGGTGCCGCTGTACTGACCTGCTCAGCTCCCGCAGGCCAGTAGTTCATGAAGAGCTCATTTTCCATTTTCTCAACGTCACCCTCATCCATTTCCAGATCGCCGGTCGTGTTAGGCTCAGTCATGGTGCAAGGAATGCGCAAGGGAGGCAGCCTAAAGCTCGAATCAGCACCGCTTCAGCCAGAGAATATACACGTTTGATTCCACGGTATCACTCATGTTAATCCTGGTGGCATACTGTGAATCATCTGCGTACATCCATTGGTCCCCGACGCGAAGCAGTGCTCGATAATGTCCTTGTTGTGTTGACCTGCCAAGGTGAACGATGGCCGAGACAACCAAATAGCTGTCCCAGACAACTCTCATATGTTGTTCGAATCGCGGAAAGAAAACTGGCCTGTCAAATCTGATTTTGGTGAAAAGCTTGGCCGCACGTCCCAGCCTCAAATATCGATTGAGCTGAAGGCAAACACAGGCACTTTCATGGGCCAGCGCATGAACATCACTATGCATATTCCAATGTGTAATGACGTCCTGCAAGTCCCTGGCCTGTGAAGGAATAGGCATCGGGATTGGTAGATCCCCTTGTGCCCGAGTTTGGATTCCTGCCATACTTATGCGCCGAATCTCCCATTGTGCTGAGTGAATCTGCTGTGCCTGAAGAAGTTGCTGCAAGTACTCAGCCGTGTCTTTCTGTACCTCGTCATAGATCCAATGCTGAACAAGATTGCGAAATCGTAGCCCCTGGGTTAGCTTCAGGGGTATATCTCTGTCCGCCGCCTTGGTAGCCATGGTCACGATGAAGTCAAGCGTAGAGGGCGAGATTCCTGCAGATTCCAGGCCATAAGTCATGGAAAGGAAACATGAATTGATGTAGCAGAGACTGTGGGGATTCACCAGTCGCAAACGACATTGCCATGGGCCTCCTTCTGGTCTGGAAGGCTCGATGGCTGGGGTCGGACGCGTGGTAGAGGATCCTGAAGCCGTTTTGAAGAAACATTTGATGGTGCCGTCTTGTTGGTGGCGAGGCACAGACCCACTGCCCGTGGAGGCATTGGTGATGCCCGTAAAAGCGTTGGAGTCCAGTCCTGTCGAATTTTCACGTACACATAATGTCTTGGGTTGATCGCCTTGAAGTACACGCTGTATGGGAGCTTGATATGTCTTGTACTGAGGATTGTCCTTGTCCTGCTTGGGAGCTGCTGCTTGAACATAAGCATAGTCGACCTCGGGAAAGTCGATGTGTTTGAGATGTCTCGCCGCCGCAATCTGAAAGAAGCTTGGACACTTACGAGAGTGTGCTTTTGTGTCTTTGGCCTGGCTTCCGCAGTATCTACACGGCTTTGTGAATGTTGCAGAAAGACTGCCTGCCAGTGCCTCAGACTCGTGTGAGACCTTGCGCCAGGCCGCCGGATGACCTACGCGCCAATGTGTTTTCATGTGGCCAGCTGATGTAAGACGTTGTCCACACAACATGCACTGATTGGACTGCTCCTTGATGACATCAGCATACCGACACAGTTGATGATTTGGCACTGTAAGAACCGGCTGTGGTTGTAGTGCAAAAGGCTGAGCTTGCTGCCAGTGTGCCACCGGAGGCGGAGGAGGATGAATCTGTTCGTCCTTCACAACTCTCTCCAGAAGCATGTCCACTGTCACCCCTTCTGCGACCGCTTGCTTGACCACCGGGCACATGCCTTGGGTTAAATGCTTGCGGAGCGCCTGCCAGTCTCCACATCGTTGATGACAGAACCTGCAAATGGGGGCTCCGTAGAGACAGTGCTTGGAGCGATCAAAGTCCACCCTGGCCTGTACCTCTACTTCGGGATGCCGTTGATGGACATGTTGTTGTAGACCCGACTGCGTGCCAAAGTATATGCCACATACCGGACAAGGATACTCCAGCTCAATGGCCACATTTTTGAGAAGGTGTGAGTCAGATCGGCTAGCTGCTACTTCGCGTACTCTCTGATAATGCGCATGAAGTTCTTCGGCCCGCCTGAGTTCGTTCCGTAGAAGAATCGGAGACCTGTCAGTGTCCAGTTTGAGCGCTGTGACTTGAGAGTCCATGCGTTTGTGCAGATCTGCATAGATGTCGATGCCAGCCTTCCGGAGGACCTGCTCATTGGAGACACCTTTCTCGTGGATTCTGCAGACCTTGCGCATGTGTCTAGCCACCGCGCTGGCAATCACTTTGACAACTTCTGTGGTGCATCCAACGCTCGCAAGCCCATACATCATGGAGGGTAAAACACATGCTTTGTAGAGTCGCACACGACGCTGCATACTTAGCGCTCCATTGGTCCGAAGAGGAGCCTTGAGCTGCTTGAAGGTGGCATTTGCCTGATGTACTCGATGTTGTGCCGATTGAGCCTCAAACTTGCCATAGGAGAGCTTCATTCCCAAGTACTCAAGATTGGTGTGCACCGGCAGGTACAGTGTAGTGTCTCCGGACGGAACAAGAAGGCACAGCTGTCCATTCCACTGCCGAGTAATGCGTTTCATCGCTTGAAGATGACAGCGACCCTTAAGTGCAATGACCACCTTGGATTTAGCACTATTGACCGTCATGCCTAACTGCGTAATGATCTGAATCAGGCTTCCTAGTTCCCGTCGTGCCCGATCCAGGCCTTCAGGTCCTCGTATGACCCAAAAGCCATGTTTGTCATCCGCGTAAATCGAGGCATGACGAAGCGGCCATCCTTCCCCGAGCTTTTGGGATAATTGCTTGCACAGTCGGCATGTCCATGCAGCATAAATCATTGGAGCAATGGCACATCCCTGTCGCAAGCCTCTGCCCATCTGCACCGTTTGAGTATGGCCCTTATGCACCACATGAAGCTTGGTATCTATATGGATCCGAAGCAGAACACCAGCCAGATTAGAGGGCATGCCAGTATCAATGAGGGCCAGGTACATCTCTTCATGAGTGATGGAGTCAAAGGCCTTTGAGAGATCTATACTTGCCATCAAGCCACCAAGAAGCAGGGACTGCGATTGATTGGTCAAGCGGGACGTCAGATCATCTTGACAGCTGGCAAGCAGTTCACGCACTTCTTGACAATGTGCACTTGCGCGCAGAAGGGGATCAGCAGTAGATGCCCTAGGCCTGTATGCATATTGCGGGATATCCCGAAGCGCTTGCTGAACGTAAGGGTTCGCATGTTTCTTCAGAATATAAAGCCATGCTTTGGTATCTCCGCCCATTAGTCCTATGGTACGCAGGTTCTGGGGGGAAGCCGTACTCTTACCTGGCTTGGGAAGCCATGCAAGCTGGACCTGAGACCAATCCTCCGGAATATGGGGATTCTGGCTGCAGACAGAGTTCTGTGCCACTTTCTGAAGTATCGGAGCAACCTCATGTGCATGCTCTTTCCAAGTCTGAATGCTCGCAGCCCCTTTGGGAACAGCTTTGTGATTCTGCAACTGTTTGATGGCTATTTCCCATTCTGAAGGAACAAACCATTCTGCAGGCAAAGGCTCCTGCTCCGGAGCCACGAAGTGTGGCCCAGAAAAGAGGCCCTTCACATAGGCAGTGAGCTGCATACACTCCTGATCTGGATTCTGAAGCTGACCATCCTTGTCCCTCAGACATATTTTCTGACGTTGGGTTTTAGGGGCAACCATCCTAAGGTACTTATAGTAATCCCGGGACTGATGTTGGGCGTCCGCATTCTCGGCCAGAGACAAAATCTGTAGAATCTGCTCTCGTTTGCGTTGCTTGGCAATGCGTTTGACCTCCCGCCGCGCTCGACACTTGAGCATCGCAAGTTGCCAGGCTCCGAAAAGACGACCTAGTTTACCCCGAGAGAACCTGAACCTAGCCCGGGCAAGATCCCTCCAAATGGCAAGTATCTCAGCATGAACCATGCGCAGTCCTGGCTTCTCCGGATTAGGCGATGGAATGTTGTGATGTTGACGAAGACATGCTTGAAGATCAGAAAGTACCGGACATCTCTGTAAGCTCATCTCATGTAGTGGAGGCGCCTGTTGGGCCGCCTCTTTGGCTTGCCGTCCCTGTTGCTTCCAAGGCTGCCAGGCTTGTTTGATGCTCGCCAGCAGCATCTCATGTCCAGATGTTCGCCAACTTGCAAGCGGAGTTTTCACGACACCACATTCCTTGGCTTGTTTGTCAGCCTGTTGCTGTCGGATAAACACGTAGTCGATCTGTGAGCGTCCCGACGGATGCACATATGTGTGTTGCTTGCGTCCTCACGTGTTGAGAGCAACCAATCTGTGTCTTTCAAGAATTTCCATGACATCACTGCGCTCCTGCCTGAGTTCTGTTGACTGGCCGCCACTGTGAATGCCGTTGCCAGCCACTTTGGCTAAAGGCTGAAGTGTCATGTTGAAATCCCCCATGAGAAGAATGGCCGTGCGAAATGGAAGCGCCGACATAGCCTTGTCAAGTTGTTGCCAGACCCCGCGTCGGTGTCTCATGACCTGTTGCTGCTGTTCCGAGGTATGATAAGACAGCGGATGCTGATACAAGTTGAATATGTCGTACATCTGCTTGCCAAGTCTGCCACGCCAGTGCAAAAGTCTACCCGGCTCGAGTTCATTCCAGCTATGATGTGAATCTGAAAGAAGATCTTTTCTAATGCCCAGAAGCACACCACCTTGCTTAGGCTTTTTGGCAGGACTATGCAACACATACCAATCTCCTGACTGCCACTCTCCTCGCAGTGACCAATGTGTTTCCTGCAGTGCAATAATGCCTATGGCAGGCTGCGTTTTGAGCCATGTCTGTATCTCCAGGAAAAGCTCCATGGATAGCCCTGAGCAATTCCACGTGGCGCTAGAGATACGCGGCTGCTCCCATCGTCTCTCACGCTGTTGTGATGGAGCATTTGTTGCGGCAGGAATTTCCGGTTGCCAGAAGCGAATCCGACGACCTTGATACACTGCCGAGCCTTCTATTGCAGCTCGTCTTAAGGCCCTTTTGTAAGATCTCTTGCACACTCTTGAGGCCCTTTGTCGCTGTTCGGGCCTTGTCGCCTCATTGTTCGCCCTCGAAAGGGCTCTAGTGGGGTCTGAGGCTCCACCCACAACCCTCGTGCCTACCAGCGCAATGGAGCGTGTTCCTTGCCATAGTTGAGCTGGTACCCGGAATTGGGACCGGGGCGAGCGAAGCTGTTCTTGCCTATGCAGTGAGGAGGGAGCAGAACCGGATCTATCGTCATGTAGTGGCAGATGGGTGTGTTCCATGCGCGCGGCTACAAGAAGCCAGCGCCGCGGAAGCAGACTTCCCCAGGAAGCCAAGCTGTGTTTCCTTCCGGTTCAGGCCTGGTCTACCGGGCCCTTAGGTTGAAGACGGGATCTCCAGGCTTTGTCATTCTCCCCCCGTAGCCTGAGCCGCTCATGGCACTTTACGACGACTACTACTACTACTACTACTACTACTACTACTACTACTACTACTACTACTACTACTACTACTACTACTACTTGTTTTATCCTACTTGTTACTACTGTTGCTACAACGACACTGTGTGCTGCAACTGCAGCTAGGGAGCGGGGGATGATGACGACGTTGTTACGCAGACCCCCCGAACAACATCTCCAGAAGAGCCGTTATACTCGGTATTTGCGGTAGTTTCGTGATGGCGGACCATCTTGTATAGTCACCAAACGTACCTCTGAACTTTGCGAACTCGACATTGGGCTTTGCGAGGGTTGTCGGCGAAAACTCAGAATTGGTTGGGGGGGTAGCTTGGTGTTTATTCGGTAGTTGAGTACTTTGGTCATGTCCTAGTCCATTGCTAAGCACCGTTGTTTAGCACCGTTGTTGCTTTTGGGCGGGTGGGTTGGGCATGATGACGTACAGGCAGCCTACCGAACACCACACACCACTTCGAAAGCAAACCCTCCTACGCCGACTTCTGGACTTTAAGGGTGCAGGCGAACCACTCCCACGTACATCTGGCATAATGGTTTTTGATGTTTGGAAGATGTTGTGCTTCAGGTTTTAGGAAGGTGTAAGCTTTCTTGGAAATACTTGCGTTTTGCACGATAGTTACAGCGTTTTCGTACTATCCGACCACCTGTGGTTTGGCAGTTTCTTCCCCGTCGAGTTTGCAACTCCGGTTGCTGTCGCAGTTTTGGGGTCGCTGTGACAGTTAAGGCAAGTGAGCCTCGGAAACTTCTGCATCTGTCACAAATATGGAGCCTGAGCCCATACATCTGTGACAGTTAAGGCAAGTGAGCCTCGGCAACTCCTGCAGCTGTCACAGATAGGGGGCCTCAGCCCCTGCATGTTTTGCAACTGTCAGTGATGATGATGATGATGGGTCAAGGCGCCAGGTGGTTGGTAGGCGGGGGGGGGGGGGCTACTAGTAGTAGTATGATTGGTGACGCCAGTGTTTTCTTCATCTGAGTATGTTATTTCTCGTGTGTTGAGCTGGTTTTACTGTTCCAGGGGATGCGTTTTTTGTTTGTGTTTTGTTTGTTTTACTTACGAGTTCAAGACATCCTGAAGGCTAGCACGAAGGGGTGTGCTTGTGGTAGTTGTAGTCGCAGTAGTAATTGTAATGGTAATGGTTGTTGTGTTACTGTACTAGCATCGTCGTCGTGGTAGTTTTCGTAGTCGTAGTTGTCGTCGTGGTCGTAGTCGCAGTCGTTGTGTCGCAGTAGTCGATATTAGTCGTAGTGGCAGCATCAGCATCAGTAGCAGCGGTAGCACTTCGAGTAGGTTTTCCAGCACAAGTCGTCGTAGTCGACAACGACAACTACTACTCCTGTTGTAGCACTTGTTGTTGTTGTTGTCGCCGTCGTAGTTGCAGGAGTAGCAGTACAAGTACCGTCGTATTAGTTGCAACAGCAGCCGCAGGAGTAGTAGTAGTAGTAGTAGTAGTAGTAGTAGTAGTAGTAGTAGTAGTAGTACTAGTAGTAGTAGTAGTAGTAGTAGTAGTAGTAGTAGTAGTAGTAGTAGTAGTAGTAGTGCTAGCAGTAGTAGTAGTAGTAGTAGTAGTACTAGTACTAGTACTAGTACTAGTACTAGTACTAGTACTAGTACTAGTACTAGTACTAGTACTAGCACTAGCACTCGTACTCGTACTCGTACTCGTACTCGTACTCGTACTCGTACTAGTACTAGTACCAGTAGTAGTAGTAGTCGTAGTCGTAGTCGTAGTCGTAGTATAGTAGCAGCAGCAGCAGCAGCAGCAGCAGTACGAGTATACTAGTAGAAGCGAAATGAAAATACGGCATTCTGCGACAAGAAACCCGGCCAAAGATCAAGGCTTTCTGGTCATAAGCATGGCAAACACTGCAAGTTCCTAGTTCGGCATCCGGACAGAACGGAAATCGCAGTCGCGGAAGATCTGAACAACCTGTACTCGTGGCACCTCGACCACACAAAACACCCGCAAATGCCGATGTACTCTGCACCGGTGATTTGTGCGTTGCATTGCATGGGACGGTTGTTAATGCCAGCTGGTGGCTGAGAGCGCCAGGCTCCCTCCCTTCCACTCTCTCGCTCGGTGGCTTTCGTTCTGTGTCTAAGCTCCTTTTGCATTTCTTAGATTCACCTTGTTTGTTGCTCGTTTTGCCTTGTGCTGCTAAGACAACCCGGGCACCAACGTTTTGGAGAAGGCTCGCTTGGCAGCGGAGGTGCGGTTGCAAATGCTGCAGGGTTTGCGTTTGTACTGTGTTCTGCGCCATTCTACACCACGGAGAAGGTCACACCTTCACGTCACCTCAGACACACTTTCGCCTGGCCATAAATGCTCAGACGTTGCATGGCCCACTGGGAGTCAAAGACACTTACCCATTCGGGTTTGAGCATTTCAGAGGTCGAGAGCCAACTAAATGCAGGCTCCAGTTAAGCCGAAAAGGCTGTTCCTGCTTCGGCTCATGCCTTTCATGACTTTTTCAGACTCAAGAGTGGCCCACTGCCGCGATGTTTGATGACACCTCGTCGCTCCTGCGCAGTGCCGAGCCGAGAGGACCCGATGCCTCAAGTTCCCAAAGGGGTTGAAGCGGTCTGACACCAAGGGCGGGGGATACAACGGAAAGCCTGGTCGCGACGCAGCGGAGAAGCAAGCTTTGTCATGTCTTTCCACACGTTCTCAAGTGGCTGTGTTGAAAGTCAGGTACCGACAACTTTCCACCGACATGCGTTGAGTGTGGATGGGTGCGTCTGTCCCCGTTTATTGCTTGAGCAACTTCAGGCTTCGCGCCTTCACCCGGAGACTTGGCGAAGCTATTTAACGCACACTGCTCGCAGCTTGTGTCATGCAGCCGTGTTTTTGGCAGCAATTTGGTCGCAGTCTGCGACGTATACAGGACCGGCGCTCTTCATCCGCCTGACCCGGGTGAGCCCAGGCCAGCAGGCTTGAGCAGGGCCCGGGCCGAAGTCTCCAAACTATGTAGATTCAATCCTCGGCCTGAAGCATGCTTCAACCGTAACCTTCGATGCTTGCAGCGAAGATAGCCCAAAGCCTTACAGTGAGGTCTTACAGTGACGGCTCATGGATGCGGAGCAAGCGTCAAGAGTCCAGCACGTTGGACACAGGCATGTTATTGGCCGTGTGATTTCTACGAAAATTCCATGGAGTTGCAAAGCTGAGTGCTTGCTTGCTGTGTGAGGCCCCCATGCCTAAAAAGAAATGCTGGTCCATCAACAAGTCGAAGAGCAAGAAGCAGGCACCCTTCTGATTCGCATGCGCTCATGTTTGACACATCGTCCCTGGCGATCTGTTGTGAAGCCGCCTCACGCATCAGCCCGTTGTTTACATGCTAAGGCAGGCTCGGCTCAGCTTGATGTTTACATGTTCGAGGTGGTAACATTGATTTCGAGCAAGCTCAAGGCACCAGAGCGTTGCTTTTCACCGGTGCTTGTTCTCTGTCTAGACGTCAAGCTGACGGTGTGAGATGACGTGAAATTCTTTCGGTGGTTCGGTGGAATGATCCATAGTGTACCGCCTACCGTTTAGTCAGCCGAACCCCGATAAACGCAAGCGCCGTCCTGAGTGGTCGGTTGTTGGATGGCTGTGGCCATCGAAGACATGAAGCAGATGGCTTCCGAGCCCGAGGGAGGCATGGATGCAAACCGTCGGCATTCGCGAATTGACACTGATTTTGCTGTCACAAGCTCTTAGCATTGCAGCTATATCCAGACGTATCCTGCCTCCAACCTGTGCTTGGTGTCTGCCAGGTGAGCTGTCGGCCGGACATCTCCGCAGTCTTGACTGAAGCGGGTCACGACGTTTTCGTGACCTCCACTGGCAAGCTTCCCCGAAGCTGGCGCAATGTTCTTTGTGATGAGCATCATGAGTTCTGGAGACAGCTGAATTCGGGAGCCATGCTTACGACCTTTTCGGCTTATTCATGCGTGCATCGTGCCTTGGCTAGGGTCCCAGTGCATTACACTAGACTTTCACCCGACGCAGCGGGTGCTCAACCAAAGTGTTGAGACTTTCATGCATTGCTCCGGCTCTGTGTTGAACGCAATAAAGCACACAGCAATGATGTGATCATACTACAGTTGAGAAGGCTTGGGAACCACGAGCAAGCAGATCGGTGTCTTGTAGTTGGCCGGTGTAGATGCCTTTGAACACCAGAGGGCCATCTGCGACAGATTCCATGAACTGCGAGACGACAAGGGTAAAGCGCGTGAAGCTTGTTTTTATTGCACACGGCGCGGCGAGTGTTGAGGAGTTTCTCAACCGCGCGAGATGCCTGAGAACACGAGCTGTAGCTCTGTAAGCTCGCAGAGCTTCCGCGGCCGGAAGGATTGGGGTGGTTGGGATGAAGCCGGCTGGTCTGCAGACCCTGCTGCCAGCGCCGGATCTCTCGAGGCGGAGCCGGTTCGTTCCGATGCGTGGAGCCGGAGCTCTCTCTCTCTCTCTTAGAGGCCATTCCGCTGCCAGGATTCTTCCGCATGAGGACCGTTAAGAAACCTGCGGTGAGAAGAAGTGGTGATACAATACAATCCTTTCCTTGCAGAGGAGAGCCCAAGCAGAGCCTCCGAAGGCCATCAAGGTCAGCAGGGAAAGAAGAAGTGCGCTTTTAGGGGGGATCCGTCGGTCCCCCCCCGGCCGCCTATAGGAGTTCATCGCTTTGCATCAGTTGGGAAATGTGAAGCTCCCAAAGCACGAAGGCGCTCGGATGAGTTTGAGCCCAAGTGACCACGAGTGCTTCACAGAGGCTAAAGCGCGGGGAGCACCGCCCGGCAATCTTTGCGGGCTCGGATCCAGCACACGACGGCCGAAGAGGTGGAGTTGCAGTCCTCTTTACGTGACTCGTTGGCGTTCATGGGAGAAAGGCGCCGTCGATGATGGCAGAGGCAGGAGCTGCAGATCCTTTCTGAACGTGACTTTCGGCCGCGCCGCTCGCCGAGGCGACACCTTGGGACGCATGGCCACGGCCGTGCACAAGGCCAGGCGGCCACGCTTCAAAGAAGAAGCGGCTAAAGTTGCAGTCCATTGCCGTCCGCTGTGTCCGCACCAGGGCTTCCTGAGGCTTTGGCCTCGGAGTTGAGCGGAGGAGAGCGGCTCAAGGAGTGGGGAAGTTTTGCTTTGCCCTGAAAAGGCAGCGGGCCCGGTGCCATCCGGGCCTCCAAACCTCTTCCGCTCCTTTGCCTGAGCGGCCTGAGGCAGGGCCTCAGGGGCGGGGGCGCAAGAAAGCTCCGCTCTGAGCAGCCGGAGGTGGCCTTCATCGGCGCTTCCAATGTCGGCAAGTCCTCCCTCTTGCCACTCGTTACCGCGCTTAGCTCTACCAAAAAAAGTCCATAAAGATACTGGTCTTGTTTCTGATTCCTATCTCAGGAACTCACTGACACGGACACAGCAGCTGGCGCCTGCGAAGGAAGCCCTGGAGCCAATTTTGATCTTGCTCGGCTCGCTCGGCTCGACTTCCCATGCTCCACATCATGTCGGCTCACAGCTTCAGAGACTGAACATGTCAGTGGGCTCAGGAAGAGATCTTCTGAGACCAAGTCCAATAATTCTCGTGCTTCCCAAGCCCAAAACCCCTGCAGCCCTTCTTCAGCCCCGCAACCCCGCAACCCCGCAGCCCCACACGTCCATGAGAAATTCACTCCTTTCTTGCGCGATCCTCGTTGCCAGAAGCCGAGTCAGCTAACCGCGTCTGGATGCGTTCTTCCGCGAAGTTCTGCCCCCACCGAGGCTGTGGTTCCCTGCTTTGCGCAAGGCGCCGCCGCACAGCAAGAGCAGGCGCAGCTGCGCAGAGCCGGGCACGGGGACCCAAGTGCCCATAGCACAAGCCCGGGCCCGGACAGTCAAAAGCCCTCGCCCCCTCCGAACCGTGCACAACGCATGCGCGCGTGACTGCAATGTTTCCGCGATGCTCCAGCACCAAAATAAGGACGGTGACACAGAATCACAAACAACAAGCCAGCCGCCCGCCGCTCCAGAAACCTGCCGAAGCCCCGAGCGTGCACTGAAAGTCCAGTCAACGGAGGAATCGGGAGGAAGGTGGTTGCTAGCGGCTGACGTGCAGCCGCGCAGCTGCCTTCTCTCAGGCAGTCAGAAGAGAGGCATTCTCGACACGTCTTCAGGACATGGTCTGGAGCAGCAGAACGGAGTAGGACGGTACTACCGCACTTGCTGACCAGCGCAGCCGATGGGGCGAACCCGACTTCCACAGGCTGTTTGGTTCGCCGTTCTTCCTTCTGTGAGGGTTTCTGGAGGGTCCTGCAGACTCACGGTGGAAACGTTGCGGCCTTTCGGGGAATCGGCCCTCATCTCCGACGACGGGCCGTAGTTTTCCGGGCTTGGAGGTATCGCTCCTCCTCGATCCTCGATGTGGGGGTTCCAAGCGCTGCGCGGCAGGTTGGAAGGTGAGGTTGGAGTGGTCCTTCGCTGATGCTCGCGCCAAGCTGTTGGAGCTCGGTCTCCTATGACTCGATGACAGTCCTTTACGCATGCGGCCTCGCTGTTCCCCCATCTGCCGAGAAGCGAGTAAGTGCGAGTGTTCCTTCGTATCAGTCCACAAGTGTCGATGAAAGAACAGGCTCAGTGCTACGATTGCCCTTCAGACTTTGTCCAACGCCTGTATTTCCCAAAAGCTCACCTGGGAGTCTGCAAAACCAATTTCAAAGCTCTGCATCGCTGGGCTGCTGGTTGTGTTAGAGTCAGAGCGTCTCGGATTCGAGTTTCGCACCAGGCCTGTGATGACGCCTCCTTGTTGCAAAGGCACGGGACGGGAGGGCCCTCCTTGGGGCGGCCGCAAGGCGGGGCTTCGGCTTTGAGCTTCAGGACAGCCTCTGCTCCTGCGGGTCTTCTTCAAGCCGAGGCCTCAGACTCGCAACCGTCACGCCGTCGTCTCTTTGCTTCTGAAGGAACTCCCCTCGGTGGCGTCCATTACTTTTGCACCTGGATCGGAGTGGATGATGGGATGGAGAAGAAAATCGCCATCCGCATTGCAAGTGGAGAAATCAGAGCCAGAGCCGGAAATCCTTCGCATGGAGCGGAAGGCTTCACTTCTGGATGCGCCGGTCATCAGGACGCTGTCTGGAAGGACCTCGGAGCCAAGTGGCCCTCCACCCTCCACGCATCCAGACTCGGACGCAGAATCCTCCGCCGAGTTTTTCGGCTTAGAGACGCCCGGCCCGGCGGGGCCGGCGGGGGGGCACGGCGGCGGCCTTCCGACGAGCCCAAAGCTAACGCCGAACGTGAGGAAGGAAGAGCCGGAGAGGCCGGAGAGGGAGAGGCCGGAGCCGAGACGAATGGCGGCGGAGCTTCCGCCCCCGCCTCTTCCGCCTGCTCAGGAGCCCAAAGCCGAGACGGAGCCGAAGGAGCCGAAGGCGAAGGGAGAGCCGGCAGAGCCGGAAGCCCCTGCGGCCCCTGCGGTAGAAACCGCGTCTTCGGCCCCTGCGGCGGTTGAAACCCCAGCTCCCACAAGAAACGCGGCGGCAGAAGAAGCCGCGAGCTGGATCGACATCATGATCCCAGGAGCACAAACAGTTCTTCACGTGAAGAACCCAGAAGAGATCGAAGCGACGAGTTCCGATCCAAATCCCCAAGTTGCAACTTTTCGAATCTCAGCTGCACAGCCGAGGGGAGTGAATCTTGGGAAGTCAGTCAGGACCAGAGAGAGCAGAGAGCTGCGGATCCGAGAGGAACGAACAACGTCACGGTGGAGGCCGTCCCTTTGGTTCCCAACGAGCGCCTCTCCGTTTCCCAGACTCTGAAGGGCAACAGGACCGGACGGGCCCCAGGCTGGCCGCAGGGCTGTAGAGAAGAAGCTCTGGTCAGCCACGCCCCTGAGGACGCTTCTAGTGGAGGCTTTGGAGGCACTGCAAGAGGCGCTTCGCCTGGAAAAGCGAAGAGTGCAGCAGTGCACGTCAGCTTTGCAGAGTCTGAGCTCAGGCGGGTGCGGGAAGTGGCCGGCCCTTCGATGTGGCGACGGCGGCCCTGGCAGCGATGGAAAGGGCGCTCTCGGAAGCTACGCTCACCAGCCGCGACATCGAAGAGGCAACAGAGAACAGAGAGAGAGGCCGGAAAAGGTTCTTGGTCGCGGCGGGTGCTCTGACGAGAGGCCGACGTCCGAGAGAAAGCGGCCTTGGACAAGAGCGAGTCCTTGGAGGAGAAAGCAGCGGAGCTCTCGAAGATGCCCAGCTGCAAGCGGCGCAAGCGGCCCACGTTACGTCGCACTGAGCCTCAGCCCGGCTCAGGACCTTGGAAGACATCGCCGGACCCCCCGAATCGCCGAAGAGGAGAAAGAGAGGGGAGTGCGGCCTTCGCTGAGGCCGACGGCGTGGCGGAAGCCAGTGCTCAGCAGGCACGCCGAACTTCGGACGCTATCACTGCCCGACCACCCGGAAGCCTCTACTGCACATCCCTCTTCACGTCGTCAACAAGATTCTGAAACGGTTGGTTGGGATGTCGGGAGTGAAAGGAAAAGTCGTTGAAGATACAAGTAGAGCCTTGTTGATGTCCTGTCGCCGCGGTCGGCACCACAGGCCTGGAGCGGGTCTTGGAACCTACTAACCGGTATCTGTTCACGTCGTCTTCTTGCCTCAAACCTCGTCTCCTGCAGAGAAATGTTGACTTGCAGCTACGCAGGAGGACAGGAAGCAAGAAGAGCAGCCTGTGATAGCCTGCGGTTGCACAGGTGGCGAAAGGGGCGGAGGAAGCTCTGCGGCTCCGCGGGCTCTGGCAGGCGCTTTCACAGAATCTAGATCCTAAATATCCTCAATGTCTTAAATCCTCTCTATCTGGAAAGTGCTGGGCTGGGCTGCAGGAAGACGTGAACGGGAGCCTCCTGGCAGAGCAGGAGAAGAGGGAGCAAATCACTCGGCCGCTTGCCTCAGCTCAGCGGACCGGGCGGATCCGCTCCCTCCGCGAAAACGTTCCCACTTCTGGCTGCGCCAGAAGCTGCCTACAGAAGTTCTGCCGTCTCTGCAGGCTTGCACAGCAGCTCTCGACCGTTGCGCGCTCCGGCCCTTTGCCTGAACTCACGGCCTTCGAAAGCCAAGAGTTGGAGCAGTTTTGGAGCTATGCTCCTGTATGCTGAGGCGTCACAGCACTGAAGGCCGTGACCCTGGGCTTGCATCTGGAGGCCGGGGCCGGGGCCGAGAAGCGCAAGAGCCAAGTAGCAAAGCATCAGCAGCAGCCCTTCCGTCCTGGCACTGCCTGCCGTTGCGGCTCAGAGGTGAACCTGACAGCGGCGGCTGCGAGCTTCCGGCGGCGGTTTGCGCTCAGCAACGAGACTCTTGCCTGCAGACTTGGGGCCCTTAAGGCCCACCACCGGGCGCCCTAGAGCAGGGATTGCGGGATTTTGTTGCGGCTCCAGTTCGGTTCGGTCGGCTGAAGCGGGCTGAAGCTTTCTCAGCTCGTCTTAAAGCCGACTGCCCAGGAGCTCTGGAAGCCTCTGGCAGCTGCCGGAGGCGGAGGAGTTGGCGACCGTCGGGAAGGTTCCAGTCGCAGAGCTCCAGCGCTACAAGGAGGCCGGCGTGCGGGCGGGCCACACAAAAGCCGCCGAGAGAAGAGAGCGGTGCTGTGATTTGCTGCATGTGATGATGTTGTTTTAGGTCGGGAGCTGCAGTGGTTTTTGTGTTTGAGGTCTTGCTTGGGAAGCTGAAAGACCTCCGGCCGAAGCCTCAGAGATGCGGGAAGACTCCGCTCCTCTGCAAGGCGCAAGGCGTCTCCGGGAGCTCTCAGCGCTCAGCTCTCTTTTCGCTCTCTCCTCTCAGGATCCTGCCGCCGCCCGTTGGGTCCGCGCCACTCACCGCGGAGATCGCCAGCAAAGATGGCCCAAAGGTGACCCTGGAGCTGCTGACCAAGAACGAAACAGCTGCCCGCCGGATCCGGAGCTCACGCCGCTTAAGCGATGCTCCTTCTAGCCACTGCCACCACTGCCACTGCAGGCTTCCGATTTCAAGACCTTGCAGGAGGATCTGAAGCTGGCGAGCAGACAGCTGCAGAATGCGACCTCCCATGTCCAGGCCGAGTTTGTGTCTGTCCAAACCAGCGCTCCTAGGTCCCCCAAAGGAGGCCACCCGGGCCCCGCCTGAGTTAGCGACTTATTGTAGCTCATGGCTCATCGCGTGTCTGTCAAGATTGTGCTGTGGCGCCTGGCCTTGTAAGCAAAGTGTCAGCAGTTGCTCAGATCAAGGTGCCTCGTCCTCGATAGCAGGTTGCTCGCCACATTAAAACCGGCCCTTCGTTAGGGGATGGCCAATGGCGATGAAGGGTATGGCGCTGGATCACAACAAGGCATGCAGGGTTTCAGTGCCACAACACACGGCGAAGGGGGGTTTTCGTGCCAAAAACACAAAGTGACGGCAAGCGGTCGCTGCTTGCATCACATGTTTGGGCGCCAAAGGCACACGCCATGCCAGAAGCACGCGATGAAGGCAAGCGGCCGTTACCTTCCGTGGCGTTGGTGCCGCCAGCAGCCGGGTTAAAGACTGTGATCAACCATAACCGGCTGATGATAGGGTCGGGTCGTCTTTTCCAGTTGCAGGAGCCGCAGGACCAGGGGCAGGGGCGGGGAAGGCCAGGTCAGGGCAGGGCAGCTTTGTGCACCACGTGAAGGCAACGGCCACTTGCCTTTCGCAACGGCCGGGCTTCACCGTGTGTTTTCGGCAACAAAGCGCCGTCCTCCCTCACAGTGTGCTTTTGGGCAACAAAACCATGGTGAAGGCAACGGTCGCTCGCCTGGACCAAGTGTTGTTGGCAGGGTTGTTGGCACAAAAAGCATGGTGAAGGCAACAGAAGCTTGCCTTCACAGGGTGTTCTGGCATCGAAACCACGGTGAAGGCAACAGTCGCTTGCCTTCACCGAGTGTTTGCGTGTGGTGAAGGCAACGGCCGCTTGCCTTCACAGTGTGGTTTTGGCACCAAAACCACGGTGAAGGTTCACCACATCTCTTACAACTGGGACCTCTTTCGGTCATGGCGGTCGCAGTTCTTGAAAGCTGCACCGCTCCGCAAATGGTTAATTCTTCAACCCTAAACTCTGAAGCCCCTGTCCCCTTATCAGGCACCAAACCCCGCTCGCACGAAGAAGCTCCGTCAACTTTAAATGGGGCCCGCCCCGCGCGTCCCCGCGCGTCCCAGCTCCACGGAGCAGAAGGAGCCCGAGGCCTCGAGATGCAGATTAGAACAGGGTGGCGGTACGACGCGGCCCTGCGTGCTGGGCCCTGCGCAGAGAGAGCTTCCGACCGGGCCCGAGCTCTCTCTCTGCCTTCAATGTGCCAGGAGATGTCCAAGGCGGGAGGGAGCGGGAGCAGAGTTATGCGCGATTCAGGGAGGGGAGGAGGGGCTTTTCCTGTAGGAGGTGGAGGCTGCGGACGCAGCGGCTCGCAGCCTGGACCTGGTGGCTGCGAGGAAGCAGGCGCACAGGCATTCGTTCGGGCTCAAGAGCTCTATAGACGTGCTCTGCAGAATCTCACGCAAGAGCTGCTTGGCATTGCCGAGAGCTCGGCATCGAGTGCGGCTCGAGGGCGCCTGTTGCTGGCACGTGCTCTTTTCAGGTGGAAGCAACGGAGAAGCTATCAAAGGGGATCAGCGACTTCCCCCAGGCTCACCTCGAGCGGGCCGTCACGAGACAAGAATCCTGTCAGAGTCAGGCTGAGGCTGGCGAGGCCATTTCGGTTGCAACTTCCGTGGCCAACCGATCAGCAGCTCTTGAAGAAGGTGCCAGCAAGGCACGGCGGCGGGACGGATCGGGACGGCGCCACGCACTGCCAAAAAGCTGCAGCAGGCTCGGAGAGTCGCAGCCCTCCTACGATCTGCAGAGCTCGACTTCGAGGTGAGGGCCGGTGAAGTTGGGAAAAAGGATTCTGCTCCGTAGAGTCAGAGCTCTTTGCAGGAGTCCCTGAACCGGTCGACGGAGGCTACGGCACGGCTCGCCAACGCCGGTGAGGATGCGTCAGGGACCGAGCTGTCAGCGGCTGTGTCTTTTTACTGCAGTGTAGACCGCTGCACTCAGGCAGTCGCAGCTCCTGCAGGCGCGGGCACGGGCGGGGCGTGCACGGGCGTGCACGGCTCGCGTATATCGGCTCCCAGGCCCTCAAGGCCGCCGCGAGCGGCCTCCGCCTGGCGAACGCCAGCGGAGCCAAGGCGGGTCGCGGAGGCGCGAGTCGCGGCTTTTGTCACGGAGCCACGGGCCGAGGTGGATTTCTCTGGGCTCCTGGAGCTCTTTGGCAAAGGCACTTTGGGGGCCCGGGCCCAAGCGCCCTGCAGAGGGCGGAAGCGCAGCGTACGGGGCCCGTTTCCTCTCAGCGAACGCCGAGGTTGCCGGACAGGATCTGGCCCCAAGCCCAGATCGCACAGCATGGCGGCCTTGCGGCGTATAGCGCAGAGCCAGCCCTGAGCAACAGAGCGAGGTGCCCGTTTTTCAAGCCCGGGCCCAGGCACACCGCGAAGTTGCAGAGAGGACTCGTCTCCTAGAAATTGCTTCGAGGTGAATGTCACCACCTCCCGGGAGCAAGCCATTGCAAATGCCGCTCGGCGGAGAGGGAGCGGAGAGGGAGAGGGAGCGGAGCGGAGGGGGGAGCGGAGCGCTTCGCTTTTTTTTGGTTATAACAGCTATAGACTCGAATGTGTGCGAGCTCTCGCTCTGCTTGCTGCTCTGAGCGCTCCCTCTGTGAGCTCCCCTACGACCGCTTCTTCGCGCCGGCTTCCACCTCGACGAAGGCCGAGGAGACGGAGGCGGAGGAGGAGGCGGAGAGAGCACCCCCCCGAAGAAGCGAAGCCCTCCTTTCCTTTCCTTTCCTTTCTCCGCTTCTCCGCTTTTCCGCTTTTCCGCTCCGCTTTGTGTCTTGGGCGGGGGAGGTGAAAGAAGCGGTGCTTCTGCCAAGCACCTCAAGCAGACCGAAGACGAGGGAGCTTGAAGAGGAGAACTGGATGCCGGGGCCCAACAGCGGAGGGCGATGCGGAGCGATGCGGAGCTCTGAGCGGATGAGGCCCAAAGCCGTTTTGTTCTCCATGGCCTGCGTCCTCTCGCTCCTCGTGGCCGTGCTGTACTGGCCCTTAGGCGGAGTCTAGCGGAGCCCAGCGGAGCCCGGCGGAGCCCCATGGCCCATCCGGCGGGCCCTCCTTGCGCCAAAGTGCGAAGGGGTTTTAGGGGAGCGTTTGGGAAGACTGCCGTCGGCAGTGCCCGAAAAGCAGGCTTTAGCCGCGCTTCTTCTGCGTTTCATTCTGAGCTTTGGACCCCTGCCGCCTGCAAGATGGGCATCTCTCATCTCCCCCATATCTTCTCCGCTTCCTTGCGAGGATGATCCTGGCGTCACTCGCTCCATCGACTGGTACAAGTGCAGCCGCCTGCCCTTGGCCGCTGGGCCGCACGGAGCCGAAGGGACACCTCAAGACCTTCCTTCGCGGCCACGGCCGTTGTGGACCAAGGATGTGATCGACCTGCCTGGCTACGGCTATGCCAAGGAAGAGAAGAGAGCAGAGCAAGAGAGCGCAGAGACTTCCGCAGCGCCCCGCAGCACCGCAGCTCTTTGCAGCAGCTTTGGACTCCGTGTCGGGAGGGAGCCGAGTTCGGGCCACTGGTCGCCGACTTCGTGCAAAGTCGGAAGGCGCGACACAAGAAGAGCAGAAAAGAGCAGAAAAGAGCAGAAGAGAAGAAGAGAGAGCAGAAGAGAGAGCAGAGAGCGGTGGAGAGAGCGGGTTTGCGAGAGTCTTAGCAGCTGCGCCCGAGTCCGAGTGCCCGAGTGCCCCTCGCCTCGCCAGTCTTTGCGCGTCCTCTACTGCCTCGTGGACGCCAGAACCGGGCGCGGCGCCCCCGCCGAGCCGAGCAGCGCTGGCTCCTTCGCTCCCCGCTGAGGATTCGGCCGACGGACTGGAGGTTCTACGCGTCCCTCGGCAACCGCGGGGGGCCCGAGAAGGCGCCCCCGCCCGGGGCACCCCCCTCACGCCCTTGCGTCGCGGTGCGGTGCGTCGCGGCAGCTGCCGCAGCTGCCGTAGGAGCGAAGGGTGTGTATAAGGGCCTCTTAGAAGCTCTTCTTTCTCGGCTCGGAAGCAGAAGGAAGAGGACAAAGGATTCGGAGCCGGAGCGGGGAGCCATGGCGACAAGAAAGGCGACACCTGGACCTGGAGGTAACTCCGGGAGAGAAGCACAGGCCAGGAGCCCTCAAAGCCCGAAGGACCCGATGTGTCGCGACGGATGCTGCAGTTTCTGAGGCTCAACGCCTGGTGGTTGATCCAGTGCAGAGACCTCAGAGACCTCAACCCAAAAGCGGCAAGCTCCAAAGGCACTCTATGACCCGTCTTGGCCACGTGAGGCATTTGGTATCTTGGGGTGGCGGCTTGATGCCGCCGGTGCGAGGGCACAGAGGGACAGCGAGCAGAGAGCCCTCTGCCCTCTGCTGCATGTGTTGCTTTTGCTGCTAAAAGCTCAGGTGAGCTCGCTGGAGCCAAGGATACGCGAAAAGGCGTTGTACAGTTCGACTCCCAGGCCAAGTGCCAGGCGATTTCGCCGCCGCAGCGACTTTCCGAGGCTTTTACCTCCCAAAGCTTGCGGAAGACGGCCATTCAGACGAGGCTGCCTGCAGGGAGCAAAATAAACGACCCGCTTCTTCCAATCTCGCTGCTGGCAGGTCTTGAACCGCTGCGTAGCACCTGGGCAAGGATGAGAATGGGACTGCGTTTGAGCGACGACGGATTTCTTCGCAGCTTTCTGCTTGCGATAGACACAGCACCTCGAGTTGCTTCCTCCTACCTCACCCGACGAGACACTGCTTGTGGATGCCGGATAGTTGAACGTCCGAAAACCATTCCCTTGTCTTCTATCAGGCGCTGAATTTTAACATGATAAATGATCCGAAGAGGCCGTGCGCGCAAGGTACGCACAAGCGCGGACCAAGCGAAAGCGTAACGTCTGAAGCTGGGGATGTCCTGAAGTTTCGTATCATGCGAATACAATTACATGTAAGTAGCAACTTTGGGAAGCCTCTTCGCACAAGCTGTTGACGGCAGTACAGGAGAGCAGCTTGGAGGGTGTAATGGCTCGGTCCTAAGAGGACACTGCTGCGAAGTCCCGGGCAGCCCCCTGGCTGTTTTCGATGTGCAAATGTCAGCTGCGTAGCACAACGTTCACGGAAGGGCTCAAGGTTCTCAGAGCTTGCATGGCCCTTTCCCTCTCCTTCTTTAAAGAAGATACATTCTGCACATCAAGATTCGATTGGCCTGGCTCTGGATCACTAGAAACGCCGGTTTGTAACCCTTGGCAGACTGCTCGAGTGGTCGCAGTCTTTGTTCTTTCCTCCGCTGTGCCGACATCGTCATCGACTCATCCTCCACCAGTCTCCATCGATGTCCCATCTTGTAGTACAGACCCTCCACTCTCCGTAAGGGTGTTGACCAGCTGTGCTTCGCCATGCACCTCATTTCGACTTTCGCATTCGCCTGATTCTTTCATGGCCAGCATCTCTGTACTGTTTCTCACTGGGCCGAAAGCCTCAACAAAAAGCTTCTTAACGGTCAACGTTGGTTGTGCCCGGCTCCCCCTCAATGATTGCACACACCGGCTGGACGCTTCCGCTTCTCTTGGCACACCGGACACGTGAACCCTTCGGCAAGCCGCAGGGTCCGTTCACCAACTCCTCTACGCTTCAAGGCCTGTATCATGTGCTTTGGGTGACTATGTCCCGTAGCACAATGGAGGAGATACAGCTGTTTCTTGATGCGCTCGTCTTGATCCTCTGTTGCTCCACTGTACCTCTCAACCCGCAAATGGCTGAATCCCCGACTCACAAACACCGTCAGGACCCACCTATCTCCCTCGGTTGTCCTGATTCGGATGCATGGTCGCATCCGGCTGCGATCTTCCTCGGGCTTGTCCTCCTTCATTGCCTTCACCTCGTGCACGAGCTGGGCCACAACACTGTCCACGGCAGCCACCATCTGGTCCGTCGAGCTCGAGCTGGTCCCGCCCTCTGGTCTCGGCTGTGTAGCCCCTCTTGTCGGTCGCCTTCGCCACTCCCTTTGGCTTGGCCTTGGCCTTCGTCGTCGTCTCCACCTTGACCGTCTCGGTGGCCACGTGGCCTTCACGCAGCGGATGAGCCTCTTCATGGGATCGAGCAGTCGCCTTCCATCTCGGTCTGGTGCGCCCACTCCACATACTTGGGCTCGTTGTCCAAGATCGCGGTAGGACCGTGCCGAAACTTTCCGCCCATCATGGAACCGTTGGTTCCATGATCTTCACCATCGTCTTCCTTTGGAGTGTGCCAATGGTGCCGATGCTTGTGGCCTCCACTCCGTACTCCGTAGCCACTTACTTGATCAAGTCCGCCTTCTTCCTGCTCGCCGCCGTTTTCAACGGGCATCTCTCCGAGGTCCATCAGGTCCTGGATTCTTTGCTTGAGGTCGAGTTTGGTCCAGGCCTCTGGGGAGTTCCTCCCCGTAGGCTCGCAAGTGCAAGATCAGGTCGATATTGTTCAGGTTGTCCATGGCAAAGACGGGAATCACAGGCGGATACTACAGGAAGGCTAGGAGCTGAGCCTGGAGTGCTGCCGGCTCGGTCATTACGATCATGTACATCTGCTCCATCATGGAGCTCTTTCTTGCTCGACTGCTCCGGCTTCTGCACTGCACTTCCCCCTCTGTCGCTATCTCTTACAGGTCCCAAAAAGCTTACCATCACTCTTGTCCCCAGAGTGATCAGTGGTGCCGCGAGTCCTTCTTTTGCCCGTCAGTGGCGGCAGCGAAGAGAAGAAGCTGAACTAGGGACAGCGCGCTCGACTGGCTCGGTCTTGGTCATCCAGTCTTCGGTCGATGACAACAGTTGGTGGTGGCCGGACTGGCCGCGCAACACACGCCTATCATCGAGGGCCCTAAGCACAACTAAGTCTCTGATGTCAATCCCGGCCTTCAAGCGTCGCAGCACCAGCTCTTTGAAGATAGAAGAAGTTCCCATTCAGCCCCGTGGCCGCCAGGTTGCATTCATTGTGGTCCAGGTTGACGTTCATGAATACCAGCCCTGTATGAAGGCCGGGAGCAACTCCACTGCCTGAGTCGGATTGTCCTCCGTGGTGGTCGAGGCCGACCAATGTCGGAAGTACACTGATCCATACCAAAAAGAGTCCCAAGTCCAGCCGCCATGGCCGCTCCAGTAGCGCCTTGATTGATGAGCCGACCCCTCATGGTAGCCTTGTCCTCGGATTCTCCTGCTGACCTCCTCCAGCGCTGGAGTCCACTGGCGACTCCATCCCCAGGAATACGACTCTCCACTCCGACGTGGGCCCGGCGTCCATGTAGTCGTAGTAGATCTCGTCGGAGTCTGGTAGTGAAGCTGTACCCTCTTCATCGCTTGACTGGCGCGCATGTATGCCTCATGCTTCCGCGTGATGAACTCGTTCATGCTCGCGCCGCTCCGCCTCCTCGTCCCCTTGAAGTACGTTGCCAGAAGGTCCGTCACCTCATTCATCAGTTTTGTAGCCCCTCCACGATACAGGATACCCAAGCTGCTGGTTGTCCTGCAACGAAACGCTTGGCAGCTCCAGTGAGCTCTTGTACAGGGCGAGTTCCGGCTGTACCATGTAAGAGATTGCTCCCATGGGATGGCAGACTCTTCAGAGGATACGAAGCTGCCGGCTTCGCCTGACCACGTGGGTATGCCTTCTTTCGTCCTCGAGAAGGCAGTCGTGGAAGCTTCCGTCGTCGCACTCATTGTATGTCTGGATTGGATGATTGGCTAGTCCAAAGCCGTGGGTCCCTGGATCGTTCACCGAGCCTGTGGTTCCCGTTCCGCAGGCTCCGCTACCATGTAAGTAATTAACAACGTTGGGAAGCCTCTTCACACAAGCTGTTGACGGGGCCGTACATAAAACAGCTTGGAGGGTGCAATGGCTCGGTTCTCGGAGGACGTAGCTACGAAACCCCGGGCAGCCCTCAGGCCTGTTTTCGATTTGCAAATGCCAGCTGCGTACCGTAGGGCTCAAGCTTCTCAGAACTGGCAACATATTTGTCATATTTGTCCGCGTGCGCAAGGAGCGCAAGCGCGGACCAATGGCCAAAACTAGGATGAATTGATGCAGGAATATTGGACAACTGACTGGAACAACGGTATGTCTCAGGTCTTGATTCCGATTTGGGCTGTAGTGGGGTACTGGCGCTGACAGCTGCTGTTTTCCCACTGCCCCAGGCAAGGGCCAAGGGCCTGCCAGGCGAGCAAGGGTTAAGTGGCGTCTACAAGATGTTGTTACTACGTGCTTGTGAAACGCTTCTGGGAGGCTCTCGCAGTGCCAGTGCCGGGACCTTTTCAAAGCAGCTGGGCGCGTTGGGTAGAGGACAGGTTCGGGCCCCGACAGCTTGCAGCCTGAGAAATCTTCAAATACGCTCAGAAAGGCCATGCCTCCAGCGCAAGGGAGCAGCCACAGCTGCTCATGGATGCAGCACAGGACATAGCCTTGGGCCTTGTTTTTCCCTTTGACTTGCTGCTCTGTGTGTGCCCTGCCAGTCACAGCCTTGCACACGGCCGGAGTGAGAGCCGCACGGCAGCAGTGCGCGGCAGCCGTTTCGTTGCTTCGCTTTCGAGTCCGGTCCAAGGCAGTCTCGGTCTCGGGGTGACGATGGGCGGCGGAGGCCCGCAAGGGCTGCCTGGGCCCCCGCCGAGCCTTAGCCGCCCGCAGCCCAGCGCCTTGCGCTCAGCTTGCGATCAGCCGAGCGGCCACGCACTGCTCTCAGAGCAACCGTGTTTTTCAAAGAGTCCTTGCAGGAGGTTTGAGTTTGAGGAAAACCGTCTGCATACGTCCAATGACTCTGCATAAGGCCACTTCGGCGTCAGGGCAAAACGATCTAAGCAGAGTTCATGGAAAAGTGACCTTTCGGAAAGTCGCAAACAGATGTCTGTCTCCGGTTCGGTAGGGTCCAGCATAGGACACAGGCGGGAGTCGTACACATCCAAGCAAGCATCCGGATCTCATGCCCTGGGGCCAGTTCCAAGAGTTTACCTGCGGCCCACCTGCGGCCCTCTGAGCTCTGAGCCCACCTGCATAGACTCCACGGGTTCTGCGCAGAAGCCCGAGAGGCCCTGCCATGCCCGTCTCTCGAAACTCTTACGTCTCAGCCTGCTGAAGACCAGGGCTTGCCTGTGGCCGCCATAGTTGCGACCGAGATTCTGCGTCTGATCTCTATTTTCCTTGGCACCGAATGGCAAGACTCAAGGGCTTTCCCTTCCTAG